CTCATGCTTAATGCTTACTCATAAGAACAAACCAAAAGGAATGGATGAGAAAAGTAGACGCAAGGACTTCAAAATTATTGAGAATAGACTTAGTTGTTCTAAATGCCGTGTTAATGCTCTATGGGGTATTCTCAAAGAAACCCATTAAGGCATTAACATAACATACAAACATGACAAAATAACAAATGAAAAAAAAAACACAAAAAACAAAGTAAAATTTTTGAGGCTGTGTTTTCTGAATGGTCATTTCAAAGTCAACATTCACCACCATATAAGCATAACTCATTCTTATTCACCACAATGAACTTTTCAATATGTAAAAGGCGAAGATACCTTAAAATGGCCTAGACACCCTGACCAATGTCTGGGCCGTCTAGGCCTAGACGCATGGTCATCTGGTTTTTCAAACGGCTATGCATGTCCTAACCTCGATTCTAACAATATATTTACTTCAAGCCATGCATTAAAAGTATAAATGCATAGATTTTATCAAGATTGAATGTAAAAATCAAATAATATTTACCTATTCGTAAAATCATAAAATTTAAACAATAAAAATTAACACTGATTAAATGTGTGGAAGATGATGAAGATGGTGATGGTGTTGAAGTCGATTTCGTCGGTAATACTTTTTCCCCTTTTTTCTGAATTTTTTTCACTCTTTTTTCTTCCTTTGAAATGAAAGGTATTTGGAAGATTTTGCGAGTTTTTAAAATAAAATCTAGTCAAAGGCTATTGTAAAAATTGGGTTGGGTCAACCGGTCATTGGCCACCGTTTTCTCAATTTGTGGCCCACGGGCCTCTTCGACATTGACAGAAGCCCAATATTAATGCAGCTCACAGAAGCCCAATACATCGACGAGGGAAGTGGCAACCTTTCCAGAGTCAAGTTCAAGCTTAGATGGAATGAAAATGGAGGGAAAACAGGATAGCCCCGTCGGCGTGGCGTTGTTAGTTGTGTGGCGGAGTACTGGTGGTGGGCCACAGCAAACACGGTCCAATTAGCCTAGGCTATTTCCGTTTAGAGAAAAAGGTACGCCGGCGACACTCGTCTCATGCCCTTGAAAGCCTTTGCCGTCGCCTCCCTCTTTGTTGGTGCCACCGCCTCCGTTGCTCCCTCCGTGCCTCTGGCGTCGAATCTGTATGTACTCTTTCTCTCTCTATACATTGATTAATAAAAAAAATAATTCTTGAGGGAAATTTGTCTGAAAAGAGACAGTTATTAGTGCTACTTTGATATGATACCATAAATGCAGAAAGAAGTAATGGAAATTTGTCAGAAAAGAAACAATTAGCAAGGCAATTTGACCTTTTTTCCTCCTTTTTTTGTGGTTTAAGAGTAATATATGATTGATTTATGTGCATCTAGCAGTGAGATTTGATTACTCGTGTTTTGCTTAGTGATACGTGCAATGATTTTAGTAGTGTAAATTCTTCAGTAATGGATATCAAAGGGAAAACCTATAAAAATTTCTGCTGTCATTTCTATGATAAACTAATAATGGTGTCGAGTTAGATTGTTGAAGATATAATTGAGTACTTGAAAATTGTTTAGTCCCTACAATTTGACATTTTATATGAAACTAATTTATGATTTCTTGTAACATTCGGAGGCTGTTTTAAGAAGAGATTACGATACACTTTAAGTCCAGGGTACTCTTACTTTATACATTTACTAGATGGTATAAAAGTCAATTTTCAAAGAGAATGAGATTTGATATATGATATGTGATGGATAGACAGAGCTAGTACGTATTAATTGCCTATAGAGTTTGGCCTTGTTTGAGTTTTCAGTTTCTTCATTTGATTATTGACCTCATTTGGAGAGTAAAAGCGTTACTATCCTTTTCCTTCCTTGCATTGTCTAATTATCAGATGTTTTACCGAGTCAAATACTATTGTTGTGCTATGAGAAAACATGGCTATATTCATTTAGACAAAATACTGAAGCTTGTATCACCATTTCACAATATGAAATTTCAAGCTGCCAACATAATTTAAAGGTCTTAGTAGAGGGGGAAGAAAAATGAAGGGAGAGGAAAATAGTAGTGGTTATTAAAGAGGTAGTATTGTTCCATTAAGTCCATCACAAATGCGTACATGTTGGGGTAGATGTACTTGGATGGAGGAGAAAACAAATTGTAATGGGATATAAATGTGGTAATTGGGGATATAGAAGGATGTGGATTATAGTACGGATGTATTACAATAGTGTTATCTTGTGGACTTTTTTGCTGGTTTAGGAAAAATTTACTTTTCCTTTCTCTTTTTTATGTTTGGAATACTTGAATGATTAAAATGAGATACAAGGATATATGCCAACAAGTTGAAATGGAATCGATTTGAATACAAATCAAGGAAGAGTGACTTGGGTGGTTGGGGCATGCCTTTGAAAAGGCCTAAAAGCTCCCATCCATTCAAGAGTGAGCAATCCTAGAAAAACTCATTAGAACATGTAGAAATAGACTAAATTAACTTAGGTTGTCTTGGTTACAAAGAGTTTTGATTTCATTAATAAATAAGACTTATCCTCTATTTGGCAAATTTATAAATGGTTTATGAATGGAAATAGTACTAGGTCCTATTAAATGTATGGATAATGAGCAGTAGTTATGAACGTATGGTTAAAATTAATGTTTGATTTTGAATGAATTTATAAATCAATTTATAAATTGTATCCAAATGGAGGCTTAGTTTATTGTTGTGGTGATTTTGGGATGAGGACGAACGGGTTGTATGGTGTTCTAAAGTTGCAAGTTGCCGTTTTGGCAGAGGTGAGACAAAAATACTATCCATTGAGGCTAGTTCCATGATAAGGTTTTCATGAACTGTATACTTTATTCTTTACGACTTGAAAAAGTCTTTGAAATGAAGAAGATTAGAAAAAAAAGGTTTGTTTTCTTCATGTAAAATTTCTGAAAATGAGGCTATAGACTTTCCATTATGTACACATTTAATGTGTTTGTTTGGTAGTTCTTTTAAATGCTTATAGGTTTTGTGTCCTATGGTACATGTGGATATAAGTGGGTGGTATGTTGTGAGTCCTATGAAATGTGTGGATAAAGAGTATGTTTGATCAACTTAAATTATAATCTAAGTTTTGCCAAGCATGCTCAATATAAACAGTGTTTGGCAATCGTACAAATAGTTTGAATATTGATGTGTGATGTAATTATTTGTATCATTAAGTCGAGCATTTTAAATTTTCATTTGAAACCTAATGTAGTGCTTGGTAATCATAAACTCTAATGTACTGAGAAGAAGTCTAACCAGATTAAGTTGCTTCTGTTTTGTCAAAGAAACTCTTCCGCATTTCCAAATTTCTCTTCTGCTCTTCCCTGCCACATTCATGGGCCTTGAGTTCCGTTTATAGGATACAACTTGTACGCCTTCTGACTTCCATTTTTCTTTAAATTAAAATAGTACCCAAAAACAACTACAAGAAATCTTCATTTTCTGTTCTACATAATATTTGGGTAATGAAAAATTGAATCAGATTCACTCTGTTGTGGCTGCACAAAATCTGGCAAGCGGATTTCACAGAAATTGGCTTCTATGTGGCCAGAGTTGGGCGATTAAAATTTCTTTACGAACATTCAAGCACTGTCCTTTAGTAAAACTTACTGGTTATCCAGTATTTCACATGACGTAATATTACCATTCCAATTCACTCAATCATTCTAGAGAGAAGTTAATTGACTGATTCTTAATTTAAAAAATAAATAAATAGAAAAAGGAGAAACTTCTGTAGCTACTAATATTTTTCAAGGCATACAAATTTAAATTATTTAGCATTCAAGAGAAATTTGCTCAATAATGATTACAAAAGAAGAGGAGAACGAAACCCCAGCCTTGACATGGTAGCTTCAGGTGTCTACATTTTCACATGATATTATCTTGGACGAAATTTTCTTCTTATTCAGCTTAAATTTGCCTTGCTTGACTCAGAATTTATTGTTTTTGCTCGAGTTTTTGTAGATGGCATAAACATACCTTTCTTTGTACTTTGTAGGTTGAAGATATGAAGCTATTGGGTGCAAATATAAGGACCGGACTAGGAATTCGTCCAACGGCATGAGATGAGTAGATGCAGATTTTCGGGATTTTTATATATCTGTAGCTTTGTCTCAGTTTCACTTGTGCTTATATCCCAGTTTTTATTTCCTTAAATCATTTTTCAAGGTCGAACTTTACTATGGGAGAACATCAACATCCAGAAATAACGAATTGCTTCAGCTTCAGAAAGTAGAGCCGATACATGCAAACTAAAACTGTAGTTAAGATAGATTTGCCTCTTTACTCAGCTTAACAGATTACTACGTTGCCAATGATGTATGGCATACAGATTGTGCACATCTTTGTGTTGAATGTAGTGCAATTAAAACGTAGTGCAAAGAATATCAATGCTTGTATCTTTTTCAACGGTTTTCTTAAGCATTTAATGAAATATTATATGCTTGTACATTACCCCAAGCATCTCATTCTTGTGTATTTCTTTGTGAATTTGTATTTAAATAGATGGTCAAGTCTCGTGGGTTGTAAATGTCATAAATATAAATTTAGGGATGCGTTTGCTCATAATTTATAGGCGTAAACTTCCTGTGCAATTTTTCAAAATTTAAATGGGGCCACAAATCAAGAAAAGGGCAATTATGTAATAATGTACTAATTTTGAAATGGAAATGTGGGCTAACTAGTGGGCACTGGGCAGATTGTGGGAATAACTGCCATAACCGTAACTACCCGGATAAGACGCCAAATAAATAAAATTGGAAATGAAACAACAAATTTTAGTATAAAACTGAAATCCTGTGAACAAAATCTAGTAAAAAATATCATAGTAGATTACATGTATTTAGGCTTTGATTTTCACTTCAAGATTGTAGTAATGAAATGGGTGGTTGAGAGTTGAGAGTGAATTATATATATTGTTGATATCGAAATCTGGTCAACATTGCGAATGCTCATCTCTCAACGATACGATGGATGAGAAGAGGAGAATGTACGACAATATGAGTGAAATCAAGAAAGGGCCATGGAAGGAAGAAGAAGATAAGGTGCTATTAAGTCATGTTAAAAAGTATGGTCCAAGGGAATGGAGCTCTATTCGATCCAAAGGCCTCTTGCACCGGACTGGAAAGTCTTGTCGTCTACGCTGGGTTAACAAACTCCGACCCAACTTGAAAACGTACGCATCAAATGCATTACATTTCACCTTCCTATAATATTTTGTGTGTGATGAGGTTGAACATTGTATGATTTTCGGCCGTGTGTTTGCACGCTCTTCTAAATTTATTTGGAACAAGCCTTAGTTTTTCTCATTTTGTGTGCACGCCCGTGCGCACCCTGTGGTTTTAAGCCTTGTGCATATGTGCACACGCATCTTCGGAGTCCAAGAAATACGGGATCATTTACTTGTGTGGTTTAAGGCATTGCGTGTCTCTGTGAGCGTGTGATATATAAAAGGCATGTTAAATGTAGTTGAACTCCTTACATGTATGATAAAATGAGGAGGTATTATTGAGGAATTAATGATAGGTTTCTTGATATCGCACAGAAAGGATTTCTTGATGCTGCTTCTCTCTTACCTTTTCTAGCATACACGCTTACGTTTATGCAAAAATTTTAAGATTTCTAATGTGGGATCCTTTTAACAATTTTTGTCATTTTGATTCAAGCCATTACCCCTACATTTATTCATAGATAAAGTGTTTGATGAAATGTCTGTGATATGTCCCTCTCTGTTTTTAGTTGATGTTTTCCAATTTCATGTAGTGGGATTAAGTTTTCGGCAGAAGAGGAAAGAACGATAATAGATCTTCAAGCACAATACGGGAACAAATGGGCGAGAATTGCCACATATTTACCAGGAAGAACTGACAATGATGTCAAAAATTTCTGGAGCAGCCGAAAGAAGAGGTTGGCAAGGAGTCTGCAGATGGCTCCATCATCGTCCAACAAACAAGTCGAGGCCTCTGGTGTCCATGCTCCCTCTTTTGAGGTAAGAAGTTTATTCAGTTTCCTGTACATTTACTACATGAATTATAGCATATGTTAAAACATGAATAGTCAAAATTGCCTAGAATGTGAGGGGTTTTCTCAGTGATATTTGGTTAGTTCTCGACTATCGTTGGCTTATTATCGGTTGAAGGGACTTATTACATTGATTTAGGGTGAATCGATTACTTCAAAGACAATAGACAACCGTTTCGTGATTTTCTATATTGCTTACTCCTTTAGAGAGTGCCCTTTATGGGCCAAGAGTACTGAAAATCAATGAAACCATTTAGCGGCAGCTTTTGAATTATCACTTTCAATTTTCAGGCACTCGAGTTCAACAAGAATTCATCACGAGGTTTGAAGTTCCTAACTTTTTCGACGTTTTTGGGCATGGGAGTGCTTCTGAAATTGGGAACACACATCTTCCCACTGCGTCATCATGTTTGGAACCAGATAAAAATGCTCCCAGTGTAACTCCGGATATAAGCTTTATTGATGATTTCCCACCGATGGACATTTTCGACCATATTGACCCACTTCAGAGCCCATCAGAGTGGTGATAAGATGATGTCGGAGTCGTTTCTTGGTCAGAATTCAATTTCGGTAGTAAGATCATGCGGAGGTAGTCGCGCTATAAACTAGTTTGTGCCATGATTTGGTAGTTGCATGTTGTCCCTCAGGGATGAACACATCTAATAGCTTATATATTTGCAGATGTTATCCTATTATTTTCCAACTTTTCTTAAATTATTATGTTTTGCACTTAATTCAGTTTATTATTACAAGAGCATTAAAGAATTGTATTCAAAGTGTTTCCAAAGACAAAAAACCAAGAAGAACGAATAGAGCACATTGGAACATTAATCTATATGATGTTTGTTTTCTTCGGAGAATCATTCAATGCTACCTTCGAGTCACGAGCGCTATAAGTAATACCTACTTGACCTTCGTGTAAACCCACCAAATCTCCGGCTGTGAATGACTGATTTTCACCAAAAACGATTGGTCTCCTTGAGTGTGAGTAAGCACAATACTCGACTTGGCGAACCATCTCGACCTTTTGCATAAATCCACAAACAGCAGCCTCAACTCCTTCCCCTATGTCAGCAACCGTGATTGTAAATAACAATAATAGAAGCAATTATTTCCACAAGGTACAAGAAAAAAGGCCACACAGTCCGACGCAAGATTCCCCTTTTTATGATGGGACACCTTTTCTAATCACAGGGAATTCTACGATAACACGCTTCCTTATTTCTCAACAATCAAGAAAATGAACAATGAGAAAGTCATTTTTGTTATGCTACAAGAATATATAGAAATATCTAGATATATCGAGTTCTAGATTAAGAATAAATGGAAGCAAGACATACCATGGGTCACGAGCAACAAGTTCTCCGAAGGATATTTATCAGCAAGAGCCTTGATAACCTCTCGATATCGAGTCCTAGCACCTTCCAGCGACTCTTGCCATTTCGGCAGCTACAACGACAGAAGCGACGCCACATGGAAATTGTAACTACCGCAAATATAATCAGCACTATATAGGGGTTCATTTTGAAAAATTTAGGATAGAATTATGTGTAATGGACACCTGCTTATGCAATTGTTCTGCAGCATGGTCAATGGTTCCAACGGGTAAAACACCTTCACATTGTGAGAGACTGAACTTGAAAACCCCGTCTTTTGGAGCCACATCCGGTCTTATAGCTCGCAAGTTCATCATCTCGGACAACCCATACTCAATTGAGACCTAGAAAATATAAAATCGAAGAAGCAGCAATCGAATTTCAATGTATAACTTGGGTTTTAAGGTGTTTTCTTGTAAGTTGTAACCAATGTTCTAAAAGGCGCACTCAAGTGTCGCTAAGGCGCCGCCGCCTAAGTGCGATGCACGGCGAAAACTCCAAGGTCTTATTTACTGGTCAACGATTGTGACAGCTAATGTGTGCCTAGACGCGATTATGAGCGCTTATTATCTTTTTTTTTTCTTTTTAATTCTTTTAAGTTAAAACTTAAAAGTTGGTTTACATTTGAAACTTATCTTTTTATTGAAAACTTTAAAAAAAAATGTATAAAATTTCTATGAATCTGTTTTATATGTTCGATATGCATTATTTTTAATTATTAATCAATATTTTGATTGATTAAAATTTAAAATAATACTAAAATAAGAAAACGTCTTTTTACATTATTTTACGCATATGCCTCGCCTAAGTTCGTCTGACCCATAATTTGGCCTTCACGCACCGTCACACGTTAACTCACATTTTTGTTGCACTGAAACTAACCTATCATTTTTGTTATAGGCCATTTGACTAAAATTGATAATATTTTATATAAAATACTCTTAAATTCAAGGTAAAAACAGATATCAAAGCGCGCGCACACGTCTGTATGTATATATGCATATGTATATGTAAAATATACATTGAGAAAATTGAAAACGGACCTTAATTTTGGATGGATCAATAACGACTCCGTTGGAACTCAAATCATTGGGATCATTGTGGTGATCATCGACGGCACATAAAGCGATAACAACTTCGGCGGCGGTCTGAAGACACCGGAGGAATGGGGAAATGAAGACCCGGTGGATAGGGAATCCAAGCTCGTTCCGGAGCCTTTGACCCTCGCAATATGCCCGAATCTTCCCGGCTTCCACAAGCGGCGGATCCCAAGGCCGCGCAGCTGTCGAAGCCCACAGTGGCTCGAAGTTGTCAATTCTGTCGCCGTGCCTCATAACGACGACATTCTGATAGAACTGCGATTCGTTGATCAAGTCTCCATGCGAGGAAACCATTGTTGGGTGACGAGTTTTCAGCAGTTTATGCTGTGAAGAAAAGACCGATTCAGTGGCTACATATATACATTAACATCAAGTTTGACAGCTTTTTTGACTGCACTTGCCATTGATTTCAAAACAACAACAATTTTTCAATCAATAGTCAAAATTTTTAGACATAAGCAAGATGTCAACCATTGATGTACAAGAAACATAATTGATATAGGTATTGGTTAAGAAATTTAGTGGGACGATCGAGGAGGATCCCCAGCAATTGCGACTCATTTCATTGTCGACACACTTCGTAATTCGTATCGTTTCTTGTGGTGTTTAATATCTGTTGGGTAGTGAAACACGTTTTTATTTATATATTATAAATTAATTTCGTGATAATTTGCAGGTAATATATATGCAATATAATATTACTTTTATATATACTAGTTTAACACCCGTGCAATGCACGGGTTGTGTAATTTTTAAGGTAATATTAACGGTTTGAACGTTAAGAGTAGATGGAAAATTGTATTATAAAATTTCATCACACATTTGTATAAAAGAAATAATGTTTTATAGAAATATAAGGGCAATCAAAAATTTGAACAAAGGAATAGCAATAAATACTGTATAGGAATTGCCTCCAATTGNGCTTCCACAGTTTTCGGTTTTCGCATAAAAATATACAGGAAAACCGATGGCATAAAAGGGTTGTTGGTTTTTGTAGATGAGTATACCACGATATTGTATTTTATTTTTAATTTTTAATTTTTATTGGATTAACAGTATAATTATAAATTTTTTTGTGGTGTATTTATTGAAAATATATTTTAATTTTTGCGTGAATATAATGTGGTGTAGTAAGTAAATTTTGTGGTGATAATATAATTATCCTAGCTTATAACATGCTCACAAAAAATAAAAATAAAAGTTTTTTCCAAAAAAGAAACTCTATTAAAAATTAGTTTTCAAACACTAATTCAAAATCAAAAGCCCTGCCATTTTGCTCTTCTTCTACTACTACTCAAAAACAAAAGTAGAAACTATTAAAAAAAAAAAAAAACACTCTAAATTCATGACATTTGTGCAAGGAATAATGCTATTTAGCATAAGTGGTATTAGAACACTAATTTAGATGGTCACACTTGATAAGTTCTATGAAATATGTCACGCGATATTGCATTTTAGTGAATGTATTATTTTATTGAAGAATGTGTGGTTGAAAATAAAAATTGATTTACTGTAAAAAATGAGAATCTGTACCAAACAGGCTCTTAGAAATATATCATGCGAGGACAAAACACATCTAATTAGATGTTCATTTCATCAGAGACAAAGTACTAAGGAAGGAATTAGAAGTGAAGTACGTGTCCTCTTCAGATCAGATCACAGACTTACTAACAAAGGGTCTCACTCATTCCAGTTTTCATTTTCTGAAGGACAAGCTTAGAGTCACACCCTTGCCATCCAGCTTGAAGGGGGGTGTTAAGAATTAGTTTAACAACTATCTTCCAGCTCAGCATTGCTCCAAATCATCTGCCATATCAGCAGCACTCTCGCCTGAGCTAAATCCTTGTTGTTGCCTCTAATTTTATTCTTATGCTTCCACTACCAATCTGTTGTAATTATATTCCAACGGACTCCTTGATTCTAGGATCCAATTACACCTGTATCATCTAGAACCTTCTCTTGTAATTACTTATACCAACTCAAGGCTGATTGAATGTATTAAGCTTAGCTGATTCATTATCAATTCATAAGTTTTTTTCAATTTGGTATCACAGCTTTTACCAATGGCAAACGCCAGCAATTCTCCACAAAATATTGATGCAAATTCTGCTCCAGCTTCTTTTTCAAACAGCAACGCTGGTCCAGTTCGGGGAAGCAATTATCCTCACCATTTGGTGTGAATTTAACCCAAATAGTTTCAGTAAAGCTTGACAAAAACAATTTCCTCCTATGGCAAAATGTGATCCTTCTTATAATTAGGAGACACGATCTTGAAGGATACATTCTGGGGACAAAGTTGTGTCCACCAAAATTCATTGGCACTCAGGTTGCTGATGAAGCCATTACTAGCATTGAAATGAAAATGAATCCACAATATAACTAGTAGATGTCAACAAACTAACTACTAATGGGCTGGCTCTACTCCTCCATGAATCCTGATATTGCCATGAGAGTCCTGGGAACTAAGAATTCGAACGAATTTTGGACAGCAGTAAAAGAAAGCTACGAAATTCAGAACAGATCTAGGATAACATTTTTAACTGGTGAGCTTCAGAAATCAAGAAAAGGAGCTTTGAGCATTGATCAATACCTCAACAAATTTAAGCTACTAGCAAACAACCTAGAAATTACTGGAAAGGCCATTCCTCATTCTGACTTGGTGACTTAGTTTTTGGCAGGCCTAGATGAAGATTACGCCCCTATTGTTGTTCAGATCAACAGTAGAGACAATGTTACTTGGGGAGAACTGCAGTCGACATTAATGGCATTTGAAAGCAGATTGGAGCATCTGAACACAGTTAGAAATGAAATGGCAGGAATCAATATTGATCATCAGACATCCGTGAACTTTTCCCTGAGATCTGGTTCAAACCACCATCAATTCAGATCCAACAGGCTACCTGCTAATGGTAGATTCTCTGGTTTTAGTAACTTCAGAGGTGGTAGAAGAGGAAGACACAGAGTGGAAACCTTCTATGGTGGAGATAGACCTACATGTCAAGTTTGTGGAAAGGTTGGTCACAAGACTAACATCTGCAATTTCAGATTTGATGAAAGGTATACCGGAGCTCCACCAAATCAGAGGCCATCTTACAGTCATTCACCTGCTCCATCAGCCTATATTGCAACTCCTAGCACATTGAATGACCCGGCCTGGTTTGCTGATACGGGAGCCAGCAACCATATCACTTCAGACGAGCAGAACCTCATCACAGCCAATGAATATACTGGTAAGGAAGAAGTCATGGTTGGAAATGGAAACAAACTACAGATTTCACACTTTGGTAAAAGTCATCTTCCAACTATGAATGACAAAACTCTTGTATTAAATAAACTACTCATTATGCCTCAAATTAAGAAAAATCTCATCAGCGTTTCTCAATTGACTTTTGATAATAGAGTTTATATGGAATTCTATTCTGACCATTGTTTTGTTAAGGACTAGCTAACGAGGGAAGTGATGTTGTAAGGGACGCTTAAGGAAGGGCTATATCAACTGGAATTGCCTCACCAAAACACCAAAAATCTTCTTCAGTCTCCTGATTATTTAGATAACTATTGCTATAGTGCTTTATCCTTTAATCCTAGTCTGTAGTCTAGCCAAAAGTCTTTAAATTCCTAAGCTTATGTATGGTACAAGAGGCTTGGACAACCTTCTAGCCAAGTGATGTTCCAAGTCCTCAAAATCTGTAATCAAAAGTTAAAAGAAAATGAAAGTAGCTCTTTCCATGATGCCTGTCAATTTGGCAAATCCCATTTACTGCATTTCTCTTCTTCAACTTCACATGCTAATCTACCTCTTGAACTCGTGCACACTGACCTATGGGGACCAGTACCTATCCAATCTACATGCGGCTTTAAGTACTATATAACCTTCCTTGATGACTTCAGTTGATTTATTTGGATCTATCCCCTAAAACTAAAATCTGAAGCTCTGGGTGTATTCATTGAATTCAAGAAGCTAGTAGAAATAAGTTTGGAAAGAAGATAAAAATCTTTCAATCTAACTGGGGTGGGAAGTACAGAGTTTTTACAAAATTCCTAAATCAAGATGGTATTGAATTCAGACATCTTTGCCCTCATACCTCAGCTCAAAACGGTAGGATTGAAAGAAAACATAGACACGTTACAGAGACAGGCCTTACGCTCCTAACACAAGCTAAAATGCCATTGAGGTACTGGTGGGAATCCTTTCAAGCGGCCACCTAACTCATTAACATTTTACCTACATTTGTGCTAAAAATGAAATCGCCTTCTATGACACTCCATAGCAAAGAACTAGACTACAAACTCCTGCAAATCTTTGGCTGCACCTGCTACCCCTGCCTCAGGCATTACCAAAGTCATAAATTCAGCTTCCACTCAACTAAATGTGTTTTTGTTAGTTATAGTGACTCTCATAAAAGGTACAAGTGTCTGACCTCAACAGGGAAGATTTATATCTCCAGGCATGTCATTTTTAATGAGCTTGAATTCCCTTTTAAATCAATGTTCTCAAATCAAAGTCACTCAAATTCTGTAAAACCAGAAACCATAGTGTCCCATTTTCAATTTCCACCTCAGTCACAACACATTGAACCTGTGTCAGATCCTGTTGATTTGGCTCTTCCAGAGGCAGGCAATGTAATGTATCACATACCTAATAGCTCAAGTAACAATCAGCGTGAAAATATGAATGCTGTTTCAAATGACAATGGAAGCACTAGCCTGGTCAGAGGCATAAACAATCAAGAAGTGGAAACAGAAACTAAACCACCTCAGAATGATGAAGGAGTTGAAACAGAATCAGCAACTAGACCTCAACAAAGAGCAAGGAATGTGTTAGAACATCCTATGATCACAAGGGCAAGAGTAGGAATTTTCAAGCCTAAAGTATTCCTGGGAAAATCAGTTGACAACATATCTGAAACATCAAACTTAAACGTGCCAATGAAGCTATGAAAAGTAAGGAATGGAAGAAAGCAATGGAAGAAGAGTATAATGCACTGATGAAAACAAAGACCTGGGAACTTGTTCTTCCATCACCAAGCTACAATATAATGGGAAATAAATGGGTCTTCATGGTGAAAAGAAACTCCGATGGTTCAGTTCAGAGGTTGAAAGTAAGATTAGTAGCAAAGGGATTTCACCAAGAGCCTGGAATAGACTTTCTTGAGACCTTCAGTCCGGTGATCAAAGCCTCAATACTAAGAATGATACTCTTCATGGCAGTATCAAAGGATTGGAAAATCAGGCAAGTAGACATCAACAATGCTTTTCTGAATGTTGAGCTTGAAGAAGATGTTTACATGAAC